TTTTAACAGTAAAATTTTTTTCCTTAAAAATTTTCTTTGTATTTGAAATTTTATCATAAATTTTCCAATGTTTTTCTGAATATAAGAGCAATGTGTTATCAAATTAATTTTGAACCTCAGTACCATAATTTTGTTTTGCAATTTAAAACAAACATCAGCTTAATGTTCTTTAGAGTAGAATTGAGTCATAAATCTGCGATAAACGCTCTATTTATTTATATCAAAGGGGAAGAAGCAATATCTAAATCTACTACAAAGAGATATATATCGTTTGGTCCGACATTCACCTTTATTATTTACTTCCGCGGTCCGTGTAATTGGATTTCGCGCGGGGCCCTTGACAATAGCGATTTGTTCCGAACTCGGGAAACCCCCCATCAGCCCCCTGAAACCGTTGCCCGCGTACTGTAATCTTCTCTTGCTGTGCCTCCGAGCTGCATTTGATCCGATTACGAGATGATCTCGCACTTTTCCTTCCCTGGATTGTGGGGCCTTTGTTCCGGGGACGATTTCCGATGCGGGCATAACATTCAAAGTGAAAATTGCCTGATATTTTTGTTTAATGAAGGTTGTTTTTGTTTATTGTTATCGAGATAGATGAATTTTGCTCCTTCATATTGTGGTAGCGACAAGGCTTCATTCAGAGGTCCTGGATTCGATACCCATTTTGAGCAGTCTGTTGTCAAGCGGTAGTGACAACGATTTTCACTTGGAAATATAGATAACAATATATTTTCAAGGGAAAATAGCCCTTGTCAGTCATTGCTGCACCAATAAAAAATCAGCCCTATTAGATACATTCTATTAATTAAATCATCAAGTATGGTTGGATTTACCATTGGGTTACCCTCTAACAATACAAAGTAAGGAGAAGTTTCAGCCAAACATCTCATAGGACTTAAGATTCTGATTGCTGTTAAATATGAGAATAAAAAATATATATTGTAGTACATGGTGTTCTATGTTGTAAATTTTTCTATGTTGTAACGATTAAGCGCGCTGCTTCCTGTGTCCGGAGTCGAGAGTTTATGATTATCCGCTCTAAATAACCTGATATCATGCAGTGGTGATATCAATTTTTACTTGAAAATTTAGATCAAAATTTGTCTCCAATTGAAAATAAGCCAATCTCGGCACAGCGGTCTAAAATGGCAATGGAACATTTCTCACACAATTCTTCCCTGAATTGAGTTGGACGTTAAGTCAGCTTACAGATTTGTCCTAGGGCAGTACTACCCATTATATTGTAATACATTTTATACATATATCAAATTGGTAAATAATATTCTTCAAATGTATTAATATTATCAAGTGTATAATATGTAAAAAGGTTGACAAATTATTTGGTAGACATTTAGAACGGGATGACAGGTAAATTGGCAAACAGGTAACTTAGTTAACAGGTAAAATGGTGGATTAGCAAGCAGGTTGATAGGTCAATTGGTAAACAGGTAAATTGATGGACAGGTGAATTAATGAACAGGTAAATTGTTGAACAGGTAAAATGTTGGAGAGCTAAATTGGTAAATGACAGTTAAATGACAGGCACATTAGTAGACTGATAGAAAGGTTCACAGGTAAATTGGTTGACTGATAAATTGGAAGACAGGTAAACTGGCGAACTGGTGGACTGGTAAATTGGTTGATTGATCGGCAGAGAGGTAGAGAGATAGACAGGTAGTCATGTAGGTAGAGAGGTAGACAGATAGTCATGTAAGTAGAGAGATAGACAGATAGTCATATAGACATTTAGACTTGAAGAAAAGAAAACTGTTAGACTCGATCTAACAAATATGCATTTTTGTTCAATTTTTTAATTGAAAGTAAAACACGGCAAAGCGTGAACGGATACAATTAATATATTTTATATAAATTACTACAATAAGAAGCCAATTTTTGGAATAAAATAGTTATGTTATGTAAATTGTCTTTTTTATTGAATAATAAACTTTCAAATGGCGCAAATTTCAAAATTTTAATTTTAGTTCAACTTCACTAAACATGTTATTAAAGTGGCAACAGAAAGATTTACTGATGATAAAATTGTTTCATTTGACATCTTCAAGTAATTTGTCAAATATTTGGAATAGAATTGTGAAAAAATAGTTTATTAGAAAATTATGAAATAGATTGGAAAATAATAGAAATCAGTGTTTAAAGTTAGACTAAATGTTGCAGAAAATGCAAAAAAAGAAAGAAATCTTCAATTTTTACCTTGTGTAGATGAAATAACACTTGTATATTAATGTCATTCTATCTGCACAAGATATTACTGAATAGTCCAAGAGTATATTATTTTATATTATATTAATTGAATTCATTTATATTTACACTGATGATGAGGCAAAATCATAGTCTCTAAAGTCTAAACTTTTATTACATCATTGAAGAAAAATACAAAAAAGCATAGTGTTTTAGTATTTTCCACGATAACATTTGTTTTTTCTTTATTTCTTATTATTTCTTGCAAATTTAGTTAAAATCACATTATTGTCAATATCATGTATATAATTTTTATTTATCTATAATTCTCTCTTTACGATTTACCTTAAGGAAATTTGATATCGACGTTTGAGTTTCATCCGTTTTGTTTCTATAAGGTAGAAAATGGCTTAACTTTTATTTTAAAGAAAATACGATTTGTAGATGCGGAAACTCAATATCCAGTACAGTATTGAGTAGATAATAAATATCATTTACCAATAAATCATAGAAAATTCCATATAGTATCAACAATAAACTTCATTTTCTCTTAGAACTTGTTTGAAAATTATATACATAATTCCTCACGGAAATGCTTTCCTATGACTTCATTAATAATGTTTATAATTTAGTCTTTTAAAGTAATACCTTGAAGAGTATTTTACAAAATAAGCATAGAGTGCATGCACTTAACAATATTCCTTCAGGAGTATTTTATCCCCTTTTAACGTCTTTGTTCATTTTTCGCATTAATATTTAAAATTACTCGGAAATCTCGTGAAATTTTGCATGGACGATTAAATGTAGCACTCGGTCCCTATGGAGAGTTGTATATTTTCCTCATGTTTATTGTGGGAAATGCTCTGACGATAAATGTATGGAAAGTCGTGGAAAATTTTATACACTTTTGATATGTCAATTTTTAGTATGAAAGAAATGCTTTCATTAGGGATGATATAAGAAGTGTTTCAAATGTAGGTTTGATTCGTGGAATCTATGTAGATGCAATGTCTCTCAAAATGTGATTATGAATGTGATTCAGAACAAAAACTCCTAACTGGTAAATAATAGGATTTTACGCGATTATCACAAGTCGAAGTTTGAATGATGTTTTTATATCTGTTTATATAAATAAATAACAAGAATATATCAATGTCATTCTATTTGCACACGACATTATTAGAGATTTTTGTGACCATATCTAATTAACATAGTTTATTCATTTTTACTTTGACAATGATATAAATTATAGTCTCGGAACGTTTGAAACTGTAATTATTTTAATACACGAAACTATCAATCTCTATTGATTTATTAAATAATTTATTAATTTATTAATAAACTAGTGGTGCATGGCATCGTGCCTCAAGGCAAATTGCTGGAACTTTCCGTATCAAAAATTGAAATTAAAAAAAAAATTAAAAAGCTTTGCAAAAAAAGATTTTGGGGTATTTTAAAATTTCTGAAAAAATAGACTTTTTATACATTGAATTTTTCTGAAAATTTTGAACTTTTTTCAAAGCAATCGTGCTGCATGCCTGTGTTAGAGATAAAATATCAAAGCGCGACAGCGCTGCATCTCAGTTTAACGATTAAACATGGGTACGGTACCCATCTCTATAAAATATCTGATAATTTGATGTACATATGTCTAATGATCATTTTTGACCTCAAAATGGCTTCTTTTTTACTTTTTTCACTCAATCTCCAAAACAGCTAGACTAGCCTTTGCAAAAATCTAAAGAATATTTTGTTTTGTCAATACGAATAAAATGTTCTCTGAATAATTCAAATAGGTCGCTCCGATCTCTCGAAAACTCATCTACTATTTTTTTTTTGTCCCGTATCTTCGAAAAGACTAGACTTGCCTTTGCCAAAAACTGATCAGCACGTCTTCTCATTAATAGGATCTGTATTCTCGAAATCGTCAACAAAAATTTGTATCCGCAAACACACACACACACACACACATACATACATTTTTTCTAAGGTATGCCAAATTGTTCAGAAACCTCTGAAACGTTAAGATATATAAAAAATTTCATTTTAGACTTTTTGCGATGACTATAACTTACCCTACGAGAAGTTAAAAATGCTTAATTCTTTAGTAAATTAATTAAATGTAATTTGAAGAATAAATATTTATTATATAATCTTATTTAATTTAATTTAAAAAAGTTAACACAAGTTTTCACTTAGAGGTTAGAAGTTTCTCAAAAATGTTATTAAATTGTGTATAAAAGTTTCTTATTTTCTAACTATCTAATTGATTGGAGTTTAAGAAAGTTTTGCTTTCAATTCAAATTAAAAAAATCAACTCAATCTTGAATGATAGCTAAACAACAGTTTTGAATTACAAAACGAACATTTTAAATATTTAGTATTGAAAAAAAAGTGTACATATAAGAAAGATTATTACTAATTACAACAAGCAATTTTCTAGATTATAGATATAAGAAAGATTTGACTAATTATAACAAACAAGTTTTGAATGAAAATTTTTGTTGGGTATTTTGATGCAACATATAGGATATAGGAAGTAATACTAGATGATAAAATGCAAAATTTGTATTTCTGATACACACACATGTCATACACTATTATACAAACAGTTCAGAATTACTTACATAAATGAAAAAATCGAATACTTGCAAATTCGAGTTTTTGTCGTTCTTCATCTTTCTAATCCTTCAATTGATGGTAAATTTTTTGAGGCAACACTTTTGTTCGGCATATTTCGGTCTACAAATTTCATAGATATTTGCTCGGATAATTTACTTTTATTTTTTTTTTTTCAGGTGAAACGCAGTATAATGCTCAAGATGGCAGACGCCTGTCAGACACCTGAGAACAACACTTCAGGTGCAGCAGCTCGTTTCCATGAAATGCATGTGCAACGACACAACAATGTCAGGTAACGACAAACTTTTTATGGTGACTTGCATTTGAATGACTTTGACTTCTAGTTTAAATGCGAAAGCTTTTGCATAGTGGGATAGCAAAGCAAACTGCTCGTAAAATCACCTCGAAAGTTCCCAATGGTAATAATTGAGCTTGGATCAATGTTTAAAGTTTGGACATAACAGTTCACTTTATGTCGAAATTGATTATTGTATAAAATACAAATAGGGAAAATACGGACAAAATGGTATATATATGGACGAAATGATACTGTGACCTTTTTTAATAATTGGCTAGTTTTTTTAACGTTTCAACGACTATATAACATGAAAAAAGCTATAATAAGAGTTTTGTCAGATGTTAAGCGTCATTGTCACAGTCTTGTCACAGTAATCAGTTATTTTGCTTCTTATGTCATTTTGTTCGTTCAGTAATATATGGACAAAATGAATATTGAAATAGATTGCATTTTGCCTTATAAACATGTTATTATAGTTCCAACTTATACTATATCACTGATAGTAAATGAACCAAAGCTAAGTAAAACCGATTAACACTGGTTAAAATAACATTAAATAAAAAAAATATCATTGGAAAACAGAACACTGTCATTTTGTTCGTACTTCTACTTCTTGTTTTATAAATCAGTTTTAGATAAATTATAATAAAACTATACTATTCCAAATCGATTACACACAGCAAATATGATCATTATGATTGTCGTGAAGGCATATGAATCAACAGGAGTTATATAACAAAATATTTTATTTTCTGTTTCTTCCAAAAAGGAGGAAACCTGCTCTAGCGGCTTGAAAAACTTTTTTTTTGCAAAAATATTTCTCAAAACTAGCCAAAAGTATTTACCTATAATTTCAGAAGCAAATTCAAATTAGTTTCGGAGTTACTGAAGAAATAGTGAGATTTTACTTAATTGGCGGAAAACATAGGAAAAAAACTGAATGTCCTATTGAAACGAGACAATATTGATTGTATTCGAGATTAAATTTTCTTCTAGTTGAACTTAAAGACCTTAAAAAAAAGTTATAATTAAACCATTCTTTAAACAACCTAAAGTATTTTTTTTTATCAAAAAAACAGATTTTTTTTAAGTTGCGAAAAATTTGTGAATTTTTCATTTTTTTCTAGATTTTTTAGGTTCAATGAAAATCTATACTTTTGAAAATATAAATTTGTTTTGTTTTATTTGCTTCGGATGGAAATTGTGACCTACATCTTTTCCGTCAAACGACACATGCTCGTGGCGCCTCGGTAAAATGTTTGGATCCGACATATTATCACAAATATATATTTTATGGAAAGAATTTGAGAAGAATGTCAAAATATGCATCAATAAAACCTAAAAGTTTCGTTTCAATAAAATATATATTTTCTTCCCTAAAAATTTCTCAATCAAGCGATTTATTGAAGCCTCTAAAGCAGGCTCCTCTCTTAAGTAATAGAGAGAGTACGGACAAAATGACATGGTGTTGTGGTTTTTTATTGATATTTATTTATTTAATAAATTTATAATCAGTTTTAATCGTTTTTAGTCATCTTACTTATCTTTCACTCATTGAGTACTAGTAACATTTATTTAAGTAGAAACTAAAATAACATATTTTTCAAGAGAAAATGCAACTAATTACAAAAATCATTCGCAAGACCCTTCTTTTTACCGGCGAATTTAAATTAATAAAATGTATATATAAAAAATTATGTGATACAAAAAATTTGCTTATTTGTGTAAATTGTGAACAACAAAAATTGTTCGAAGTTACTGCCGTAAATGGACCAATCCTATAATGTCCTTTTTATATAATCAATTCAAATTATTATCGATGATTTCATCAAATCAAATCTACTTTTCTATTAACATTTCTATATTATTTAATCCCATTACAGCATTCTGTATGCGGACATTGTGAACTTTACGCCTTTGTCAGAGAAGTTAAGTGCATCGGATTTAGTAAAAACATTGAACGAGCTCTTTGGAAGATTTGATCAAATTGCGCAGGTGAGAAAACACACTTCTTTACCTATTACTTACTATAGCAACTGTTTATAGCATTTACGAATTTAGTTGAATGAATTGTAATGTAAACTAATACAATTCTTTGATAATTACATTCGCAAGTTGATCATTTAGCTGAAAATTCTGTTATTTTTTGCTTAATTGGAAAGCGGCACATCTGAATATTTTAAATAATATAGTAGTGAAAAGGGTCTTTATTTTATTTTCTGTATAAATTAATAGGTCGTTATTTACTCGTTTTATAATAAATATTTGTTTACATTAAACAACATAGTTATTTTACAAGTTGTGCTTTATAAGCCTGCATGAGAACTTATTCAACGTTATCACCAATTCACATGTTGGCCTTAATATCCAATTTTTTATTTGTGACAAAATTTATATTCATTTTTTATTCGTCGTGGTATAGTGGTTGAAAAATTAGTCTCCAGTTAGATCTTGATCAAGGTCTGCTTGATATCAAGCATGAAATTCCTTTTGGGGTTACAGATCCCAAATTGCTTATTGGCTTTGCAACTACATATATACTAATTTAACTAACACGATACAAACATAGTCATGTTTGGTAGATTTGATCAATATTATTAATTTATCAGATATTTTGAAGTAAAACATCTTTAGGCGCGAATAGGGTGTAAATCAGAGAAAATGCAACGGAAGTGCGTTACGGTTTATCATCATTGGTCACGTTTATGTATCGTCTTGTTCGCCAACCATACAGATTATGAAATGTTAAATGTCAACCATGCTACTATCAATTAAGGTTGACAACATCTGAAGTAAAAAGCGTATCTGTTATGTGCTGAGATGAATATTGTTTGGTTTTGGTGACATAATAAAAAAAACGAATAAAACATTTAAATTTGTTTCGATGACTCGGTGGAGAATTCATTACAAAATAGTTAAAATTTAATATTATGTTGGAGTGTTGTTTTGTTTCTTATTCTAATTTTTTCTTAGCAAGCTTGTATTTTTCCAACCATTTTATGTTTTTCTTACCCGTTGTAATTTAATTCTAGAACATAAAGATTTTTATAAGTGAATATAAACCAGATTTATGGCCTTTGAGTGTTATAGCTTATAGGAGAAAATATCGGATGGTTGATACAAGTGCAATAAAGTATTGTAAAAGCCACATCGTGAAAATTGTTATTGCATTATAGATCGTAATTTAATAAACCTTGTAGAGAATATTGCAAAATTTGATAGGAAACTATCATGTGAAGAATTTTTGTTTTTTGAAAAACGCCGAGTCTTGTATTGTATATAATAGTATTATATATAGTTATATTATATGGTAATCCAAATCATGGTTCTCTAATCAAAGTAGAGAATATTTTTGTCATACATATTTGTAAACCACTTTTGTCAAATTTTGGATCATCACTCATCAAATAGATTTAATAAAGTATTTATATAGTAAACAAAAGACTAAACCGATGGCTTTCATAAACGAATACAAATATATGTGCTTGCACATATCGAATTTCCGATGTGATATATCAGACAGTTCAATATTTATTTAGTAAATACGGGGATCCAATTCGTACTTCGCCGATTACATTTTCAACAGTGCTAGGTGAAAATATAACCTAGAATGGTTATAGACATACACTGAAATTTATCAAATAAGCAATATGTAGCAGTAAATGGACATAAGATATTTTTAATTTCAAATATAGTCTGAAGACCTACTTAGGTTCTTGAAAACCAGTGATATTTTCTTCAACAGCAATCAGAACAACGGTGTTTTTTATTATAGCATTTTTTCTGGAGAGAGTAACCCATTGATCCAACATTCTTTTTTCATGTTCATATACCATATATGTTTATCTAATAGTCTTGCCTATATGTGTTATACATATGCCAACAAAAGGCGAGTTTTACTTAAAATTATATTTGGGTTCTTCAACCTAAAATTGAAATTTGATATCATACTGCTTGATATCGAACTGGCCAATGTTGGGATCGTACCCGGGACTAGTTTGTGCTAACCCACGATCTCAACCATTACACCACAAAGGGATCAGAACCAATGACATTATCTTGCAGAATTCTTAGATGATGTCACTATATTAGTCCTGTGTCCCTCTGAGTAGGGATTATTCAATTTTGCATAAATACACGATTACAGCTCAACTTCCATCTGATAACTTTCGAACAGTATTTTAATTTTTAAAATTGGTTCGGATTTTTTGGCTTATACGATACTTATTTGCTTGTTATGAAGAAACGGCTTTGCCGATTGTCTGGCTGGAATAATCAACGCGGATGCTTATCGCAATTCACCAAAAAAATTTATTGTTTTGAATTGATTTTATTTTTTTGTCATCAGTTTGATAGCATATAAACATATTTCTATATTTAGGCAACAACTGAGAAATTTTCTGAGCATAATATTTCTATATCTGATAGTTTGATATGTGTTATTTGCTGGGATGTATGTCGTTTGGTTTTTACAGTACAAATACTTCTGAAATGCTTATAAGCTCATATATTGCGATGCTGAATGGGATATTTTACTCGATGATGCATTTAATACGGTTCCACAATTAATGAGAAAAGATACCAATTACAAGGTCCAATTTTGGCTTAAATATATACAAACGCACATACTTTTTTTCAATTTAGTCCCAAACAATTCATATTGATTTAAAATATCTGGAAAATTGTCGGGGATCTCAAAGACTTCTACTCGTTTGTCACTTTTGAATGTCCATCTTACTGTCTCTTATTGGTCAAAAAATATTTTATAATTTTGTTTCTTGGGACAAATGAACATATAGTCGAAAAAATTATAGGGAAAAAGGGGGGCTTGAAGGTCCGCGGGTAAAAGGTTCTACCAATATCTCAAAAACAAGTAAAGTTAGGAATTTTTCAATAACAATTTTTGAAAGTAGAGGGATTTTTAAGTTGGATTCAAAACGTCCACGGGTAAAAAGTTTCACTACCAATATCTCAAAAACAAGTAAAGTTAGAAATTTTTTAACAACAATATTTAAAAGTAGAGGCATTTTAGTTAGATTCAACCGCTTTTTAATTATAGAAATATGTTTTTTAGCTATTTTTCTAAAATTTATCATCTTTTCTTTTTCACCCCATGGCCTGGGTGAAAAGGAACTGCCACTGCGCAAACATATACAAAGTCTTATTCTTAATTTTAAATGAATTTCCGAAATAATAGCTAAATTATATAACCAATGAGAAATAAATTATATATATATATATATATATATATATATATAATTAACAAATCTAATTTTCTGGAAAAGCATAAACATCTCCTTCAATAATTAAAAAATATTTTAAAACAAATTTCAATTAACTTAACCTTTGCCCCATGTGCATCTCTTGCAGCTACTCATATAAGAATAGTTAAAATATTCTTATTACAGCATGAAGAACGGATTTAAAGGTATCAAATGCGATTATCAAATTAATTATTTCATTCAAAAATTTAATTATTTTATAATCTCAAAGTGTATTTTTCTGACAGTATCCTGATGTATTAATCCAATTCTCCGTCAAAAATGCTGACATGAATTTATCCTCCCACATTTATCGTGAACTAGTTTTGCGCACATGCAAATTGAGCTTCGGCAAATGACATTTATCGTTTACAATAGATCAAAATTTTATTATTTCATAAATATTCATTGCTAGCCGAATATCTACAATTTATATGCAGACAATAAAAAAATTATGACAAATGTAAAACCATTTCCAATATTTGAATATTTTTAATGTTTGTTTTAATGAATGTGCATGATCAGTTTCTGTTTTTTTTTTGTCATAGGTAATATATTATGAATTTAGATTTGATTTTATTGTTGATTTTATAACATACCGTGCATTTTTATTACTGCAAAATAGTTCACATGTTTTCTTTTAATATTTATAATCATTTTTAACAAAATTTTAATTTCTAAATGTAATTGGAAATAAATTGTCTTAGATTGTATCTGAAAACTTTAGTACAATTTTTCTATTTCAGTCAAAGAAAATTCTCAATCATTTATACTTTTGTGAAATTATATTATGTTTACATATACATATATAAAATCATTGAATTTGGTTCCATGTATTTCAACATGGTATAAGTTTTGCACAATCATTTATTTAAAAATAAGAAAATCATGGAATGGAAATGTCACAAAACTCGGATGAAATCCTTAAACCTTATAATATTTATTATCAGGTCTATGATGAAATTCCAACAATATAAATTGAGACAATAAAATATGGTTTTTTAGGAATTTCTGAATCATTTTTCGTATCTTTTTGAATTTAAAATAATAGATTTAAATGAAATGATTTTTCAAATTTTATTCGTATCTTTTCGAATTTAAAATAATTGTTTTAAATGCAATGATTTTTGCAAATTTAAGAAATTCAATATCAAGAGATAGTTGATTATTTAAGTAAGTAAGTAAGGAACATGAAAATAGAATTTTAAAATTTGAACTTCTTAAGTTTGAATGAAGTAAAAATAAAAACTATCAATAACTTTAGTGGATTATATTAATATTTTCTCTATATTTTATAAAGTTTATCAAGTCTTAGGAGACTTGGCATCTAATAAGTATCTACTACAATCTATTTCTTTCGTAAAATTGTTTTAAAGTGGTTATCTTAAAATATCTTGAATTTTTATTAGTCATATTTTATATCTCATAGTTATGTATTATTGAATTAAATTAAACTCTTAGTTTAAAAAAAAATCAATTATTCATTGATTGTCTAAATGATACCAGTCAAATATAATATTTGAAGTTAAAAAAAATCAATATATATTGAAACGCAATAAAACAATATTTTGTGATAAATATAAACTAATGTGTGTTGCATTTATCAATTACCTTTCTTTTAGAATTTTTGAATAACAAAACTTTTAGAATTAGAATTTCCAAATAACAAAACGAAATTACTAGCAAGAAAAGTATTTGATAAATACTAAATAATAATAAATAATATAATAATTGATAAATTGGTAAATTAATTAAGTAATTATAAAATATTGTTATATTGGGCAAAATCCACATTTATTTTTTTTTAAATTATATTTGACTTGTATACATTTAGACACACATTAAATAATTGATTTTCTCAAATCAGGAGTTTAATTTTATGGTAACTGTTTTCATAATCTCTCATACCAGGCACTCCTGCCTGACTGTGATATGAAAATAGTATATCAATAAAATAAAAAGAAAATAAAAAAAGAGTTTAATAGACAATTAGAGTAACAATTTGCTGGGTTTGTTGCATTTGGATCAATAATCAGATTTCGTAAAAATAATAAACTTATCCTATAATTCCTATACATATATAACATATAACTATAATTTATTTTATAATCAATAAATTAATCCACATGGCTACCTAAGTCTACGAGTGTAGTCAATAGACTATGATATATTTATGACTCTGAAATAAACTAATAATAACTCTAATTTGTTATTGTAATTCTTATTTTCATAGAAATGTGTTTTTAATTTTTAAATATAGTTTTGTTGATAATGATAGAAAATTCTTAAAATATGATGTTGTGTCTGTAGCGCTTCTCTGCTCGCTGTTCTGTACAGCAGTATCCTGCGAAAAACACCGTAGAAGAAGGGTCAATATTGTTATGAAATATTTTATTGTACCTCAAATATTTAATTAACTTAAAAAGTGATATTTGGCAGTAAAAAATTATCATTACATATATGATCATCAAAATATCAAATATTTGATAAAAATTTAAAAAATCAGTACTAATATTGTTACAATTTTGTTGGGTCCGTACCAAGATTGTTTTTTTTTAAGTTTACTTGCAAATTTCCAAATTTTCAGAAAAAAAAAATTTCAAATATTTCAAAAATATATTGAGGATCACTGTGATTAATTTGATATTGAGTGGACTGTAAATTATAAATATTCCATCACCATAATATATGTGAATAAAACCACTATTTAGTTTATGATATATATTAAACTTTACTCTACAACTTCCTTCTCTCATTACATTTGCTAGTCTCTCTAGTTATTATAAGTTACAGGTATTTGTACTTATACAATTGTATTCCCTACTTCAAAGGGTTAAATAGAAAAAGCCCTGGTCAAATTTCAAATTTACAATTCAGTTTGAAAATGTATATCAAATGCGTATCAAATGCGTTATTATAATAGTAAGAAATATATCCTCAGATGGATTTATTCGGCACCTCTTGCTAATGTAAACTTTCTCAAGTGTTTTGAGCGATAAGATCGTCACTGTTTATTTTATTAACGATAAAATATATAGTGATTATAATTATTTACTTGAAAATATTTGAAACAATTGTTATTAATCATTGATCAATATTTATTAATTACTGATTTTTTTCTCTCGAATATTTAATTCTGGTACGGGAAGTAAGGCAATGCACTTTGCACCACTAGTTGAATCGTACAATTATTGCCACCACCGACTATGAATCTACTGCCACCGTCGATATTCTATTCGAAAGTGTTTTCAGTACATTTTTCTTGTTTCCAGGAAAACCAATGTATGAGGATCAAAATCTTGGGCGATTGCTATTACTGTGTGTCAGGTTTGCCCGTATCTCGGCCCCATCACGCGGCCAACTGCGTCAACATGGGATTGCAGATGATCGAGGCTATCAGGTGCTCCTATTCTATCACTCTTATTATTTTTCTAAAGCTTTAGCAGAATCCACAATATATATTTTAAATTCAATATTGGCAATAGTTTGAATCGACAATAGAAGAATCTTATTTCATACTGTTTAGTTATATGATAAGATATCAATTTGCGACGCAAACGATTTAAGTTTATTTATTTTTAAATTGGATTTATTTATTATATATTTGTTTATTAACTTTTTGAAGGGTAAGAATAAAATATTTCACTTGTATTGACGTAATGAAGAATTAATTATATTTTTGTAAAGGCAGTCCAGCGGTTTCGGAGATCCAGAAAATAATTTAAAAATGTGCTATTTGCTGGCGTTAGCAATAATTGGGCTCTTTTTACTATCACCCCGTTTGAGATTGACGTTGAGTTCTTGGGTTTTAAACAATTAATATAAAATTATCTTTTTCACCATTCTACTCCGGAGTGAAAATTATTCTACTCGACTTCTAAGGAAAAACTGCCGAATACTTTCCCAAATACTTTGCTTTAAGAACCACATCTGACAAATTTCTTTGTTTTGTCCTGGCGTCAAAGGCAAGAGCAAAAATTGCAAAAATTAATGTAAATAATATAACAAGTCTATAAAATTCTTCTATTATAAAATATACTTCAATGCTGAATTTTGGTCAAATCAGATATTTTTGACAGTCTGGATCAACCGATATAAATGGGTATCAAAAACTTTCAATAAATTTCAAGATTGAAAAAGAAAAATTTCAAAAAATGTCAGTATACAAAAAATATTTAAGTTTTCAAAAATATGAAATTTTTAAAATAGTGGCTGTTCAAGTATTACGTAAGCACTATAGGGGGGCGGGGGGTTATTGATTGGCTTATTTTGGGTGACATGGAGAGCAGGGGAGTCTAGATGATGATTACGTCATAGGTAGTATTTTTATTTTTTTACCGAATGGCAACCTTACATTGTCTTTGGTTGAAATCGAAACGCATTTTCGGGGATTTCCGCAAATAATGCATACGGTTAGGCACTCGCTTTAATTAGTTAACGAAGTCTGGCGAAATTATAAGTTACAAGCAAAGTCCGACAAGGAACTAGATATTAATGTATCTAATTGTAAGAGAATTGAAGAAGAATAGCAAGCGGCGACTTATATTATGATAAATAATTAGATTCTAATAATTTTGTTACTTCTTGTTGAATACCATATCAGTAAAATCTCTACATCCGAAATCTACATTAATTGCAAAATGTTTACGTAAGCATGGAGGTAGGGAGTAAGAGCTTTGCTTACTTTGCTGACAAGGGGGATGAAGGGGTAAATATTTGTAATAAATCTGCTTACGTAATAGTTGAACAATCCCATAGGCATTTTTTTATTTTTTCAATATTCAAATTTTTCAAATATTTTCAAAATACTCAAAAAAAATTTCAATCTTTCATTTCTGAGCTTTCAAATATTTTTAATTACCGTACGGAAAGTTCCAGAAATTTGCCTTAAGGCACGATGCCATGCACAACTATTCATTTCAGGATGATCTAGATCAGATCAGAAAGTTATAGTTAAACATGATTTATCAGTAAATTGAATTTAAGATTTGGAATTCAATCTTGCCATTGGGTTGATAAATTTATAAATTTAAAAAACTAACCACTGACTCACTGACAAGTATTTCAAATCAAATTAACCTGTGTCATGTGTGATATCACAATAAATCACAGCAAGTTTTTTTTTACTCAAAATTATACGAACAATCAGAGCAGTTAAAGAAAATTGTAAGCTTATGACTCAAATAAAATAAACAAATTAGAAATTGTTTCAGCAAACAATTTTATAATACATGTAATTTTGTATTTGAAGCCAAAAATCAATTTCTTCTCACCCTTTTTAGGTTTAGATGAAAGTTAGATAAATGGACCGTTCAGTTAAAAAAAATTATAAGATGTAACTACGACTCAAATAAAACAAACAAATTAGAAATTGTTTCAGAAAACAATTTTCTACTGAAATTAATATATTTTTGAAGCCAATAATCAATTTTTTCTCACTCTTTTTAGATTTAGATAAAAACTAGGTCAATGGACCGATCAGTAAATCAGTATTGACCATCATGCGTGGATTCTCATGATGACTAATCCTGATCTACTGAGGGGCGTCCATTAATCATGTGATCGATTTTTGAATGATTTTTGGACCCCCTCCCTTCCTCTTGATGATACGTAGTAATATAAATTACCTCGCCCTCCTCCACCAAACATCACGTGTATTTTTATTTACATAAGATAAATTGTAAAATTATTGAACTTTTTTTGAACGTTTTGATTTGTTTTGAAAAATTCAGGTAAAAAATAAATACACGTGATATCTTACTATACCCCTCCCTCTCCCCTTGTGATATTTTGTGATTTCTTGTCAAACCCCCCCTCCCCCTAAAAACCTTACGGGATTAATAGGCGCCTCCTGATAGTATTGACCATCATGCATGGGTTCTCATGGTGACCAATACTGATCTACTGACCTTGTCGTCGTGTATGATTTCATTACAGCCAAACCAATGATTGCAATTAGTAATCATTGCTAATTGGGATTGAGTTGAATAAGTTTAACTCTTCATTTACTGCAATATTCCCAATATATTAAACATAGACTTTTGGTTTGTTGATTTCACATATTAGCAGTTTACTATCAAGAGATAATTGAGATTTGACGATTTCATATATTAGCAGTTTACTATCAAGGGATAATTGAGATTTTTGCGTGCAAAAGTATGATAGTCGTGGATTTTATTACAACCAAATCAATGATTATAGTTAGTAATCATTGCTAGCTGCGATTGAGTTGAATAAGTACAATATTTTATTCACTGCTATATTTCCAATATATTGAACATAGACTCATATTGGTTTGATGATTTCACATATAAGTTTGCTATCAATGGATAATTGAGATTTTTGCTATCAATGGATAATTGAGATATTGTAAATAATAATTATTCGGAAATAAATTTTACTACTATATAATTATATGTATATTTTATATATATATATATATATATATATATATATATATATATATATATATATGGGTCGATTTAAAAGTCGCTTAGGCGCATATAATTTTCGTATACTAGGGATCAAAATAAGATACTTTGCTGAAGAAACCATTCCTCTAAAATGAATTCTGATGTCCCGTGCATTGACCCAAAGATAGGGATTGAATTTTGAAAAATTCTGTTTTAATCCATTTAGAGTGCTTCAATCGCATCGAAATGTATAACAAACCCCAACTAACTTTGGAAGGCCAATCCACCCATACCTATGGTTCACCCCCTGGGACCTCCCCTTAGAAGTCTCCCATACAAATATTGCAACAAATCATTGTTTTTGATATTTTACTCAGCAAAAAATGTTTTTTTAAAAAAAAATTTTCAGATATTAATTAATACACGCCCAAAAAACTTTTTTACAAAAACAATTATTAAAATTTTTCTTTGTTTCAATTTTTCCAATGCACTTTGTCTCTGCGCTTCTATGGTAGCTAGAGGCTGATGCGGCGACGATATTAGAGAGCCGTGCAAAATTTTCCAGACTTAAGACTAAAAAAGACTTCAAACAAGAGTTTATGAGTTTAACATAGTTTTATTTTTATATCTTATGATTAAATAAATTTTATAATAAAAATAAATCGCAGATTTTTGTCATGTTAAAGTACCTAAAATGATGCAACTTTTGTATGAGGGACCTCTAAAGGGAGGTCCCAGGGGGTGAACCATGGGCATGGGTAGATCGGCCTTCCAAAGTTACGGGGGTCGGTCATACATTTGGACATTATTGAGACGCTCTAAATCAGCCCAAATTTAAAATTTGAACCAATCTTTGGGTGAATGCACGGGACATCAGAATTCATTTTAGAGATATGGTTTCTTCGGCAAAGTATCTTATTTTGATCCTTAGTATACGAAAATCATATGTGCCTATGTGACTTTTTTTATCCATACAAATCGACCCGCCCTAACATATATATATATATATATATATATATATATTCACAATTCTTGCACGACAGTTATTATTAAAGAATTAATAACTGAAGTTACAGTTGCTCGAAAGCGTTGATACTGACAATAAATTCTATAGAGCGTATTATATTTGCTTTAAGATAGCTTCGTGAAGAGAAAGAAAAACATAATATCTAGATATTATTTGTCTGCCTCTGATCCTAAAGACTTACATACTTCTTTAATGCACGTGGCAAAGCATGCGGAAAATAGGACACCAGATTAAACTTTCCACCGCAAACGTTTGTAGTTACTCAGGGTGGTAGGATAGGAAAATGCATTGCAACGTGCAACCCGTGGCGTGAATAATAAATTCTTATTTGGTAAGATTTTCCGTGGCGCATTCTCGATAGAAAAATAAGAAATATGAATTCAGCATAACAGAAAATTTCCATCGAAAATAGAGCTTTGATAGTGATATCGATAAACTCCAGGCGAAAATGTTTATTCAGGAGAAACTGCAAAAAGGATTATAAATATAAAATTGGATTTCAAATCGATATGCAGTATTTTGCCAGCGGCGAAAACAGAATTTAAAAATGAAGTTAAAATAATGGATTCATTTTAAAATAATGTTAAAGTAAAATAGAGTTTAGTATGTAATACCATTGCTCTTTCGAAAAAAAAAAACGAGCAATCTTAGGTGTTTACTGGGTTTTGCAATAAAGGATCTGATGCGTTGTTTTTGAAAACAAACGGTAACTATTTAGAATTTTTTTTTCAACTTAGCAAAAGCAAAATATTAATTTTATACTATATAATAATCATCACCCATAATTTACTATTTAACATATAATAAATTCACATAAATATTTATGTGTGATAGATTAATCTATTAGATAACAAATTAAATTGTTAGCTTCTAAGTGCCCACTATAGTAGACAAGTAATTTTGTTTTCAATTAAACTTTGATTGAATGTATAAAATTATCTATGTGTTATTAATTAATTA